CAGGCTGATGTTGATGAAAGTGGAACAATTGACTATGGAGAGTTCTTAGCTGCAACAATCCACTTGAACAAGCTGGAGAGAGAGGAGAATCTTGTGGCTGCATTCTCCTTCTTTGACAAAGATGCAAGCGGTTACATTACTATCGACGAGCTTCAACAGGCTTGGAAGGAGTTTGGTATAAACGATTCACATCTTGATGAAATGATCAAAGACATTGATCAAGACAATGTGAGTAGTACACACAAAGATCTTTACTGTCTCTTGATCAAGGAGCTTGGAAGAATGTTTTATGGTGTTTGCTTTTGTAGGATGGGAAAATAGACTATGGAGAATTTGTGGCAATGATGAGGAAAGGAAATGGCAATGCAGGAGGAATTGGTCGGAGAACAATGAGGAACACTCTCAACTTTGGAACTCCTCTTCCTCGTGAGTCAATGAATGACTAAACTTTTAATTTTAGTGAAGATTTTAGAGACTTCTGTAACAAAAATTTAAGATTATTATAGAATTGTTTCTTATTAATCTAATCTGCTTTCAGCAAGTTTTTCTGACTAGTACCAGTTATTCGAATTAAGCTCTTAACAGTAGTAATTTTTTCCCATGAATCATATAACCAAATCTCAGAAGTTGGTACTTTATTGAAAATGCTAGAATAATGTATTTTTCCTTGAAGTTAAGATGAAAAACTTTAACAAAAATAATTTCCAAGTGAAACAATAAGAAAAATAGATTAAGAAACTATAACTTAAGTGTTATAAAATTTGTTTAGAAAGTGGGAACCACACAAAACAAAAAGGAAGAAGAGAAGAGATTTTAGTTTGTTTTCTTGTCTTCTTCTTCTTTCTCAGTGATCAACTTCTTCTCTGCAGTTTCATCTTCACCTCCAAAACCGAACTCGTTAACACGAGTCTTGTCCACTGGGTATTTCCACCTTTGGTATAAGTATATCAAGAATATCACATCTGAAACACACACAGAGAGATCCATTATATTATATTAGTCTGTTTCTGAAATCTTACTCCTTGTAGAGAAAGGATTGATAGATTTTACTCACCATCTCGGAAAACAGAAAGTCGATGCAGAATCGGCATTTTGATGACAAAGGCAAAGAGATCGTCGATAATGGTGTTTAAGAACTTGTAAGTCATCTGCCTCCATGGTAAATGTGCCACTGACTTTAGCTTATAGTTGATGAATAGCTGAGGACACATCATGATGAAACCTGGAAAAACACACACCATTGATTTCAACTCAAAACAGTTTCAGAATGAGAGATTCTCAATAGTTTTTGAGGATGATGATAGGATGAAGGCTTTTTACCGAACATATAGACACAGCTTGTTAGTGAAGACAAGATCCAAGAATACCAGCTCTTGTGGCGTTCGTAAGCGAGAGAATATATGGATAAGCCAATGACAAGGAGGAGGAGCACATAGGATAAGAATTTGATTGCAATGTCATCATACTCCTTGGTTTTGTTGCTTGCATAGGAATCACGATCATGGAACCTCAACCTTGGAATCATTCCACTACGATCAACCTGAAAAGTTTGACAAGGTTTATATCAGAAATGCTCATAGTAAATGCTTGCTTGATTTGAAATGTCAGAATGTAAATATTAGAAGTACCTCTATGCGCATGGCTTTCCCTATTTTCCAGAATTCAATGCAGACACCGACTCCAGAACTAGCCAGTATCATCCATGAAGTGTCGTTGTCAAGCAAGTAGAGGAAGATGACAAACTGACAGATAAAGTTCAGTACAACAGACTTTGCAGACAGTCCTTCCATAGATTTGTTTTTGTTCCAGAATTGGATATCTGCAGGGTAAGCAAAGGATACGTAAATACTGCAACAAGCCTTAGTAAAGAGGCTGCTATTTTTGGGTCTTACCATTTTTGAATGCCAAGAAGTCGAACACAGAATGAAGCATCGAAACAAACATCGTGATGCCCAACAGATAGGGATTTCCTTCCAAAAACACCCTCTGCAAGAACATATTTACAATCAGCTCGCTCCAGGAAGAAACCAAGAATCATGTTAAGTTCATAGCACATCATAAGTTCATGTGATAGAAGATACTAATCAACTATTAGAAAAAAAAAACCCAGAATTACCTTTAGTTCATCAGATTCACCATCAAGCATGCTTCCGTAGCTACGCTGCATCTGGAAAGACTGATCAATTTGCTGAAATAGTTGCCACTTTGTCATGCTTATGGGGCTTATTTCCAGATTAAGTGGTACTTCTGAGACTGTCTCATTGATTGGAATCATCTTGTCCCTTAGCAGCCAAAACTCATTGAAGTAAATTGTGGGATAGTAATTTCCTGTGCTAGGTTCTACCAGTAAGTCTGCAAATTTAAAGTTAAGTACAGCATATAACAAATCGGGCAATTAGACAATCACACCTGTGCATACCAAAATGAAAATCATCTTACTGGATCCCAAATTCCACCAATTAAAAGAAGTCCAAAAATGGAAAACAAGGAAGATTCTAAGCAAGAGACGTGGCACTACTTTTAACCATCCAAGAACTTATCAATGCCTGAACCTTTTTAGATTTGAAACAGTTATTGCTTAAAAAAGGCATGGAAGATAGAGCATGCAGCAGTCACATGGATAGTCCCTTAAAATGTCAAAGAAAACATATGCAGAGTTTTGTAAAATCCAAATAATAATAAGCATTTCATCATTTTTCTAAAGGATACGAGGAGCAATGTTTGGTGGTACACCATTCTGTGAATAGCTGTCACGAAATCAAAAGCAAATGTTAGTCTACCAGTATGGAGTCAAATTAAATGCCATATTGACTGATAGTCAAAAATAAAAGCAAGCATGCCATCAACTGCCAATTGTTTTAGTTAATTATATGTTTTTTGTATGAAGAAGCCTCTTCCTTGTGATTACTTAAGGTTAACCATAGTTGATAAGTTAAATTACTATGTTAAATATTTTGGAAAATGAGCAGAATCCTATGTACATCAAGATAGAAAGTCTACATTAGTCGTTTCTAGAATCCCAATTTTTTTATACTAAACAAAATACCAGAATCTACTTACTGAGTAAAATCATCGACAAGGTTAATCGTGACATTCGGTTTCCAGAGGGATACCCATTCCACAGGGACCTCTTCCTTGGGATCCGAGCTCTTATCACCAACTTTCTGTGAAGTGCACTTCGTGTTAGTTGATTACACCTCTATAGAATTCATCACAGTAGAGGACAATAACATAAAACTATAAGCAATTTTTCCGCAAAGAATACTTCCACACAGAAATATATACCTCAACTTCTGGTTGGGATTCAGCAGAGTCTTTGGGATTACCCAAGAGACTCTTCTTCTTATCTACTTTTCGCTTTGGAAAGTAAGTAGCAACCGCTGAAATAGTGAAAAGAGCAGTCCAATTCAGCTATAACAGAAACCTAATTATCAACTGCTGTCCAAAGAGAGTTTATAGATT